TGAGCTGTTTACATATCTCTGTAATTTATCATTTTCAACTAGTATTATTTCCTGACAACATGAAGATAGCCAAGATAATTCCTCTTTTTAAGAGTGGTGAGAAATGTATGTTCAATAATTATAGACCAATATCTTTGTTGCCACAGTTTTCAAAAATTCTAGAAGTTATTTGAGACCAGATTAGATCAATTTATTGATAAACATAATATATTAAGTAGCAGTCAGTAAAGGTTTAGAGCTAACAATTCCACATCAATGGCACACATGGACTTAGTAGAGCAAATAACTGCTGTTGAACAAAAACAATACTGTTAGTGTTTATGTTGAATTGAAGAAAGCTTTCAACACCACTGACCACACCATTCTTATTGAAAAATAGAACAAATACGGTATTAGAGGACCAGCCCTACAGTGTGTATCTAGCTATTTGAAAAATAGAAAACAGTTTGTTCAAATAAATGATGTAATGGTGCGTTCACACCGAATGCGATTTCAGCTTCAAAATCGCAGCCAACGCTGAAGTTTGAAGCTTGTGCACTTTGAGGTCAGACGCAGGACAGCTGCGCTGCACGGCAGAGCCTCCCCGCCCCTCCCTCCTCTGTCGGGCTCTGTTTAATGTCGGACGAGGAAGTGGCTTTGCTTTATTTACAGAGCAAGAACATGTCACGTTCATCAGATAATTAATTCATAATTAATTCACCAGATAATTCAGAGTAGAGGCTCACAGCTCGCTTTCAGGACTATTTTTTCAGTCTGATGAGTCGCTGCCACGCATTGCTGCGGATCAGGACACGACTGCAGCACTCATTTCAGCTAAAGAGCAGGAGCTCTGTCTGTTTCAGGTTAGTGGACATCATTCAGTAAACTGTCCCGTCGGGAAATATGTCGCTACGTCACACAGTGGAGTSTCTCTGATTGGTTGACGYKGCGCGTCGAGCTGCAAAAGTTCAGATTTTCTAACTTCAGCGATTTGCGCCTCAGCGCGTCGAACGCTCAGATCGTTCAAATCGTCCAAATCGCGCTGCTCTAATCGCGCTTGAGGCGCCGCAGAACTTCCCGACGCTGCTTGAAGCGCGTTCACCATAGACTTTGTATGTAAACCTGATGCTCCTGATGCTGAAATCACGTTCGGTGTGAACGCACCATAAGATCTGAATTAAGTAATGTCACATGTGGAGTTCCTCAAGGTTCAGTAGTTGGACCAAAGTTATTTATTTTATATGTGAACAACTTGGTAAATGTGTCAGGGTTGTTCAAATGTGTTTTATTTGCAGAGGATACTACATTTTTTTGTTTTGGTATAAATATAGAATGGTTGTTGGAAATGATGCAGATAGAATTTGTTCAAAAAAACTTGGTTTCAACTCAATAAATCATCATTAAATTTAGATAAGACTAATTATACGATATTCGGTAACCGAAAGAAGACTGTCAATGTTCCTTTTAGAGTTGACGGTGTTGAAATCTGTAGACTCAGTGAGGTGAAGTTTTTGGGTGTCATCATTGATGAGAAACTGACATGGAGACCTCATACAAATCAAGAACAAAAATAGCCAAATCCATTGCAGTATTGTACAAAGTAAAGGATTTATTTAATGATAAAGCTCGGTTTATAATATATAATGTAATAATTGTTCCACATTTCATCTACTGTGTTTATGTTTGGGGAAAAGCATGTAAAACAATAACAAATCCTATTTTTATTTTACAGAAACGAGCCATAAGAATTATCGCAAAAAAGCATTACAGTCAACCGACAAAAACATTGTTCCATCAGTTGAAATTATTGAATTTCTATGACTTGGTTGATTATAGTATTTTGTCAGTTTTGTATAGGGCTCATAAAAAAACATTACATTCAAACATCCAATTACATTTTGTTAAAAGAGAGAGTTGTTACAACCTTAAAAGGATAGAAATGTTTGTGAAACCTAAAGTTCGAACCAGCTCGAGGGGATAGAGTGCTACAGTCCAGGGAATAAAATTATGGAATGATCTGGAAGATGATATTAAAAGGGCCAGATCAATGTGTATATTTAAGAGAATGATAAAGGTTAATCTGTTGGAGAAATATAAAATGGTATAGTGTAAAATTTGTTGCTCAAGAAGAAGTTAAACATTTATTGATTTTCTTTGTTTTCTTTTTGTTTGTTCTTTGTTTTGTTTTTTTCCTCTGTATGATTTTTTTGTTTTGTATTTGAACATTATTTTTGATAGAGTTTGTTTAGTGACAAAAGGGGCAGATATCATAAGACTTTTTTCTTCTTCTATTACCTTTCATTTAATTTGTGATTGTATATTGTTGTATATAGAATTTGTTGTTTTTTAGATAAATGAATAAATGAGTACTCTTAGTTGTGAAGTTTTTCTTTCAAAAGTTTTATTCTGTTATTCTGAAAATATGAAAAACACTTTTATAAACTACAAAAAACATCTTAGAAATGATGTGAGAATTTCAAACTACAACCTGACCTTGCTAACTTTGAGGCTTTGTTTCTTGGGTCATGAAGCAAACAGTGGGAACTGTAAAGTTCCTTTTTTTCAATGGATATGGGTCAAACAGCTATTTTTGCTACAGGGATTTAAATGTGGAATTCCCTACCTACCTATTTAAAACTGATGTCTGACTGGAACCATTTAGATTAGAAGTGAAGCATTTCTTGAAGGAAACCAGCTTTGCAGTCATGAATAACTGAAATGAACTTTTTAATGATTTGTGTTTAAGTTAGTTTATGGGTGAGTTTTAATATTGTGATGTTTTTATTTTTTAACTACATTTTACACTTTTATTTCATGTTGCTAAAAGCCCATCTAGGGATGGGCATTGCAAATTAGCTCTGGCTATAAATGTTGTAGTGTATTGTTAAAACTTGACACTTGTCCTATTCAAATAAACAATGAATGAATAGAATGAAATGAAATGTTTCTGACTGTTGCCCAGTTGTGGTCACTGTGACCCTAAACAGCATAAAAACAAGCAGCCATCATTAGCCTTGTTCATAAGACAGCTCAGTCCAGGACTGACACGTGTTCTGTCCCTCTTGGATCATTCTGAAAACACAGAGGCAGCATGTGGGGTAGAAGAAAGCCTGTCTCTGACGTCCCTCTGAGCCACCAAGGGAGGTATCAGAGCAGAGCAGGCCGACTTGTGAAAAAGAAACCTGCGGTGCCGTGGCTCAAAAAATGATAGCAGATGACATCAGTGAGCGACCGCCGGATTTATCAACAGATTTATTACCGAGGGAATATTAAAGATGATGCTCCATCATCTTTATATTAACTTTGCAGTTAATTTTAAAAATATTGAACCACAGGATCATCCAAGTAAGTTCATTTGGTTTGTTTTGTTTGATACGAGGCCGACGTCCATCAACAATAAATGCATCGCGATCCATTTCATCAGAACTGAGATCTGCTCCATGTCTCTTTTGGTTCTGCATTGTTGGGTTCATTTCTGAACACATACATGTGAGTGCGAACTGGTCAGCTTCACCTGCGAGTTACGAATTACCCGAGGGAGCTTAAAGACGGACCAGTCCGTGTGGCCATTTTGTAGAACTGTCTTGTGAAAGAGTCTATAGTCTTTGTGCTCCAGGACATTAAAAGCTTCACCAGACCTTCTAATTCACATGGGGAAATTCAAAAGAATGCACGTCTGCTACAAGCAGCTTATATCGGCTTCATGAATATGTCATCTGATTTATTTAAACGTCAAAAACACTTTAAATTTGTGAAAATGTACACCAAGATGTAAAATGTAAAAAACAAAGTAAAAACATTGGGCCTCATGAAAGAACATGTTTGTATTCTTATCCTAAATTTCTCTTACTTTTGTTAGTATGAACCCTTCATACGAACATGCCACGTCTGATTCAACAAACTCTTCTATCTTCAGAAAAAGTGTGTAAATGAGCTGCGTAAACTGATGAATGTGTATCAGCTGCCCGTGCACGGGGCGAGGAGATTTGCATAATCTACCACCCTAAAAACACCATATAAGGTAACGTTTCCTGCCCCACATACCAGGAAGTGTCCACTCATAAATGACACCGCAAAGTAAAAAAAAAAAAAGAAGAACTTTACGAGTTCGGAGAGTTGAGTCCTGCTCTCAGAGATCCAGAAATTTTTTTTGTCATTTTTAGCAGCGTCAGACCTGCTAAAACCAAGGAATGAAATGACGACTGCTGTTAACGCTGTGTCTCCTGTGGGTTGTTTACAGACAGAAATAAAAATCTAAATCGTATTCATCTCTCTGTAGTCCCACTCCAGTTTTTCTTTGGTCAGATATTTTTAATTTCAGTGTAAACAACTGTGTTACACAGTTTTCATTTATTCAGAAGAAGAGCAGTCGCGCACTGCACCCCCCCCAAACGCACGCGCACACACACACACACACCCTGGCCGTCTCCCCCCACCCGACTGTTGCACGTGTCAGATGCGGTTCTGAAAAAAAGCATTTTAAAGTGTCTCCAAACTTCAATTAATGCATAATTTAAGTTGGTTTGTAGTTTGAGATCTTCATACTAATATTGTAGTGTTATACAACAACATTAAAAGCCTATTTAATTTAATCTAACCAATTTATGTCATTAGTTACATTTAAAATCTAATTCCAGTTCAAACAAAATAACCTATTGTCAACATAATTTTGGAGTGTGATTTAACATAATTGTGGAGTGTGATTTATTTTCAACTCAAAATATCTTCAAACTAATGAAATACAAAGTTATTAGTGAAGAAATCCATCTGGATAACAGCAGACTGACTGCTCGTAAAATCTACGACAGCTCTGGACCACTCGTGAATTTTGTTTGTATCTGAAGGAAATCTTAGAATACGATGAGAATTTGTGAATGCCACAAATTCTCCTAAAACACTCGGATGCACAACTTAAGAACAAATCTGTGCGTACGAACGGTTCTTGCATGAGGGCCAATGACCCCCAATCCATCAAGCTCTGACTGGTATACAATCAACATTTGCAGAACTCAAAGTAATACCTTGGTGGTGAGGATCTTGAAGGAGCTCTGTTGGGGGACGATGGGATGCAGAAGTTGTAGGTGGAAGTTGTAATAATCTCCTGATGCCAGCTGGATCTTTGCAGACACCTGAAGACAGGACAGACAGCACATATTGACCATTATCTCCTACATTTGTCAACTAACAATCAGCAAAACAAACATGAAATGGACATACCGGTATTTAAGGTGGCAAAAAGTAGATCTCTGAAATTCCAACATACATTTTTTTTTCTGTGAAACCCAATCACTTTCTGGGACTTATTTCTTTGTAATATTCTAAGCTGACAAAAGGTTGATGTTCTGATGTAAAAGCTGTATAGTGTAAAGAGAACCAAGACCTCAGAGAAACAAAAAAAAAAACACGTTTCTCCAGGGCAACACTCTTAATAAGACATTTAGACAGAAACACAGGCTAGGGCGTACAACTCAGAGTTACTGTGATCAAACTAAATATTATATCAAAAATATTTCTGAACCAGGAAGTGGAAGAAGCGAGTGTCCGTCACTCCTGTCCATTTTTATTTGTCTACAGTGTTTCCTGTATTAGTTAAAGACCCTTCACTTGTATTTTTAAAGAGAAAATTTTGAGCTACAAAAGATGCTAATGAGAGTTTGACTGTGAGCACTGTAGAAATTGACAGAAAAGACTTAAGGGCCCAAAATACTCGATCTGAAGCCAAACAGTCAACTCCTGGTCATGTGGTTGCCAGGTGTCCCTTTTCACACACACCTTTCATAGCCCATGAGACACAGCACAGAGCTCCTAGGACATCCCTCCACTGTGGTACACGTCACAGAATGGTGTTTCTTCTCGCTGAGACTCCTTTCTGAAATCTGCCGTTTGGTCACAAATTTGTCACAATAAAGTGCTTTATTTTTCAGCAGATGGATCACTCCATGCACAATATCTGTGCTCTGTCCATCCAGATGTTTTTGGCTATTTGGCCAGCGTGATTTACATGTGAATCCAATTCCTCACATGGCTTCTCAGGTGGATATTTTAAAGCCAGCATCTCAGCTCACTACAGACTTTGAACTGAAAAAGCCTCCTGGATAGGAAGCGAAATGCCTTCAACTTTAGAATTGAAAGTCCATTTGTTTTAGTTTTTAATGCTCTTTTGATTGATCATGACCTGGATAACTGAGAATCTTCACCAGCATGCCATTTGGCTATCTTAAGTGTCTGAAAGAGTCATAAATGGACATATTTTCCAATTGCCTCGACCAACTGCTTCTCAAAACTATCCATGTTGTTTGGACGCACACCAGCCAGCTTCTGGAAGCAAAATGCCACCATTGCTGTCGGAGCACTTTTCTGCATTTCACTTTTTGGCTAAAAACTTCTGACCTACTATACAATACTAGGCACATTCCCCTGTGAGAAAATGTTCGGCTTGAGCCTTGTGTCAAGGAGGGGCGGGTGAAGCTGCTCTGCGAACAAAATGATGCAACTTTCATTATGCAACTGCTACAGTGAGAGCAGATGTCCCAGCTTCAGATGGAGTATGAAGAAGCCTTTACAATAGTGAGATACTAGATGAAAAACAATATGTCTTGATGTATTAACTTTATACTTGTAAAGATTATAGAATAAAGAAATTATTGCAAAAAGTTTGAAAAGTTTAGACGGCTCAAAAGACTGTGTGTGAATTCAACACGTCAAGTGTTAAAATGATCAAACTTAAACTGTGATTGCATAAAAACCCTAAAAATGTCAAAATGCCTGTTTAGTCAGATCTTTTAAAAAGTTATATGTTTCTACCGTGAAGTAAGCTGGAGCTATAGCTTCCTTTCAGTGGTGGGCCCCAGGCCCCCAAAGCAGCGTTTCCCAAAGTTGGGGTCGGGACCCAAAGTGGGGTCCCAAAACTTCAAGGTGGGGTCCTGAAAAGATTTTCTGAATTAATTACATTTTTGCGTTAGTTGTTACAAATGAGCGAGGTTAGTATGTTTAAAATGGATAAATGTAGTATAAAAAATACTGTTACTATGCCCATGTTTAGTTGACCTGAAACAAATGTTCATCATCCAAATATAGTTGGGGGCACAGGTCTCTGCTACTGTTATTTTGTGGGTCAAAAGCTGAAAAATTTGGGAACCACTGCACTTTGGTTCCCAAAGTTGGGCTTGGGACCCAATTGGGGTCCCAAAACTTCAAGGTGGCGTCCTAAAAAGATTTTCTGAATTAATTACATTTTTGCCTTAGTTGTTACAAATGAGTGAGGTTAGTATGTTTTAAAATGGATAAATGTAGAATAAAAAATATTGTTATGATGCCCATGTTT